TCTGAGTGCGACCCCCCTTATAAATTAAAAACACATTTTTATATATTTAACACCATTATAAATGCTGGAGGAAAAGTGTGGTTTGAGGGTGGAGGCTGACAGCTCGCGACCCCCCATGTAATAACTTTGCAACCCCCTGATGGGTCGCGACCCCCAGTTTGAGAACCCCTGGTTTAGAAGGAGAAATTGATGATGGAGTCAGGTATTTCTTCATTGCAATCTTATTTATTTACAAAGTACGTACAAAGTCTTATTTTCCTAAACACCCCAGAAATTAATAACAGGAGGTTTTTCGCTCACAGTCTAAGCCTCTTTTGAGCCAGCACCACTGAAAAAGCTCTCTCTCAGGGCCACACTTCCAGTGCTTTTCTAACTATCTCCTTGCCTTTCTGCTTCTTTCTACCTGCTTCCTGGTTGTTTCTGACTCTCGCATACATGCAGCTAAAATCAAATAACTCACCGGCTACCTTCTTTTTGCATACTGTCTAGTCTTTGGGAGGTGACATTTTAGTCCCTAGGGCAGTGTTTTCCAATGTTTCGGCTAACATTAAACAAAGGGGGCATTTAATTGTTCCCTCATTTAGCCTGAATAGAAGGCAGCCAGCATGGCCAACAGCTTCAAAGACAAGCCTGAGGAAATGGCCAGTCTTCATAAAAGAAATACAGTCCAGGCTCACTAGATATAAAATTCACATTATTTATTTATCGCATGGGAAAGTGTGTGTGTGTGTAGGGGGGGGGGGCATCTGCTTTAAGTAGTACAATATCAGTGCCCTTAAAATGATATTGGGCCAGATCCTCAAGGAACTGCAATTTACATCAGCTGAAGATCTGGCCCACTATTATGTATTAAGTGCACAAAATAGCTTACAGTCTGCTCTAACAGGTAGACAGAGGACACAGGACACACTGAGTGGCTCAGAGGAAGGAAAACAGATTTTAAAAATACTTATTAGTAACTACAGACTAATTGTAAACAATGCCAGAAGAGTGAATCTTTAGGGGGGATTTGAATAAGGAGAGGATGGTGACTTGGCAGACAGATGCAGGAAAGGCATTCCATGTGTAAGGGGTGGCGTGGAAAGAGACAGAGAAATGGGAGAGTGAGCAGATGACAAATGCAGCTTCAAGGCTGGTGCAATTGGCCAAGCAAAGTGGGAGGGGAGAACACCGTAAGAATTGCGACCTGCACAGGGCACTGAGGGCAAGACTGAGACATTAAAATACTGAGGCACTAGGTAATGCAAAACAACAAACCACTCCTGCTCCATGTGCCTTGCAGAGAGACTACTTCTTCTGCCTCAAGGATAGGAACAGAGGTTATATAGGGAATAGCACCCAATGCTGCTAGTCTTTAAGTTGGGCAAAGGGCTGAACTATTACATTACCCTGGTCTACAATACAAACTTATATCAGTATAACTACATCACTCAGGGATGTGGAAAATCCACCCCCCTGAACAACGCAGTCATACCAACCTAGTTCCTAGACAGCGCTATGTTGACGTGAGGGCTTCTTCCATTGACAGAGCTACCGCCTCCTGGGAGGTGGAGTACCTATGCTGACAGGAGCAGCTCTCCTGTCGGTGGAGGTAGTGTTTTCACTAACCCGCTGCAGTGCTTTAAGTATAGACAAGCCCTAAATAAATTAGCAAAATTAAGCACGGAAACCATTACATAGTCACGGCATAACAAACAAAATGTAGACCTCAGGAAATAGTCTGAGTAGTGGGCAGCCGGTGAATTGGGTTGCTTCTACGTGGATCTTTATCTTCCTCTATCTTTGAATTACATTGATTCTATTTAGAATGTATAGGAAAGTTCTAATGGAACCGTCAGACCAGGAAGGGACAAAAGTACTTCCATCCTCAGTTAGGTTTTGGCTGGTCTTGTTTACAGAGGCCATAAAGATACAGAGTTCAGCCAAGCCTGTGCTTTTCAAGCTGGTGGAAGAATGCTGAGAAGCAAGGAATGTTTGGTCTGTTACTGATGGAGAACGTCCAGTGTGAGATCAGCCAAAATGCTTCTGTAAATAATTCCTAGTTTTGAACATAAGGCATTCCCTTTAGAAAGCCCTTGACTCTGGAACTCACACTTCTCTTGAATGCATGCCAGAGTTTGAATGATTTGAGCTTCAGGGCACATGTAAAGCCCATCTGTTTGCTCAGCCTTTTGCCTGAACTAGGCTGAGATGTGAGGAGTGTGCTGTTTAAAGGAAACGACAAGCAATTAACTGGGATGCTGTTTTTTAATTTCACTTTTTATTGTGGTCTAAAATTGTTTGGATTGGTCTTTTGATGCTGCCAAGCGTGGACTGCATGCTAGTTATATTTTTACTGGTGCTAGTACAGTCAGTGGCTTGGGAAACGGGCAATTATTTTTTATAAATACAAATAGATACACAGAACAGCTGAAACCTAAAATGAGCCTTTTTATTAAATCAAACACTAAGACTGTGAAGAAATTGTCAGCTTTACAATCCTGTAGGTGAGAGAAAGTCAATCTATTTCATGAGGGTATTTTTATCTAAAGCAGGGGAGGATTCAACAGTTAGTTCAAAATTGAGGAACACTTTACATATGTATATATGTGTACCCACACACAGAGCCATGTGTTAGGCGTATAAATGCTAAAGCATTGTGATCTGGCTCTAAATCACAACTCCCCTAAAAATGAAGTCCCTCATCCTGTTACTAAGATTGCAACTGATGCAAATATTGGTAAAGTAACTGCCAAATTATAGTCTTCCCCACCACAGCAGCCAGATTTTACAGGGACCGTACATCCAAATAAATGCCTCTTGGCTACCCATTCATCTAGCAGCTGGAAAGATGACACTTGACATTTGGAAACTTTCCTGTGAAGATTGCTGTGAGGCTTTCCCATTAGCTTCCTGGTGAGACTGTAAGGTCGAATAAGCTGCCTCAAAACCTGCAAAGGGTAACTGAAGCCCTCTAATATCAAGTCTGTTTGATTTAAAATTCTAAATTCTCAGGCCACAACTTTTCAGACTGCCTTTAAAATGCTCAGTATATTTCAATATACTGAATGTTTTAGAGGAAGAAAAAATGTCCATTGACGGAAATGCAATTATAAGAGATGCTTTGAGTGATGCATGTTTTCATGAGAAGTTGGAGAGGGAATTTGGATAGAGAGAGAGGAGATACTCCCACTAGGGTCACAGAGATGCCAAAACAAATGTACTCACACATCAAAGCTTAGAATGTTTAACACTAAGTATTTGGATGGGGTTTAAAAATACAGATTACAAACACTGCTTCAGAATAAGTGAGAAAAATATGTACTGATAGTGAAAACAAGTTTTGAGCCACACAGTATTTTTATGAAGCCACATCAGACTAAAACAATATGATTCTGCGCACACACAGTATCTCATAAGGGGTGGGGGACAAAGGAATGCACTGCTACTACTTAGGGTGACCAGATGTCCCGATTTTATAGGGACAGTCCCGATTTTTGGGTCTTTTTCTTATATAGGTTTCTATTACCCCCCCCTCACACACACACCACCTGTCCTGATTTTTCACACTTGCTGTCTGGTCACCCTACTACTACTTCAGTTGTTCAAATCCATTTTTCTTGGGAAACATTTTCTTCTGTTTGTTCCAAAGAATTCTTCATACTACAAACATGTTTTTATCAGCTGCCTTTCCACACAAAGGCCAAGGACTCTGGTCTCCTATGGTCCCTCTGCACCTGATCTAAGACGATAGCTTGCTCATTATGCCTGTTTTTACATTAAACCAGGGGGGAGAGAAGAGCAGTTCACAGCTCTCACTCCGTATCAGCTCTACAGCACGCAAAGGGGAAATGCTTAGTCACCTGGTTGCTCAAGTTTAAACCCATTAAACCCCACTTCTTTGCACTGTTTTTCTCCATGAATTAGGTTTTGTATTTGCCTTGCTCATGTGGCCCCATTATCAGATTTGTCGGAGCTGGACTGCAATCCATTGTTTCTGTGTGTGCATGTGCGCATGTTTTGTCAAGCATTGATACACTTGCACTCTATAAATAATAGTATCTTTCCCAGGTAACAACAGGGACCATATTTAATTTATACTTGCTGTGCTGTTCAGAGGTTCTATTTAATATTGATGGGCTTCCCGCCCCCCATTACCTAAATCATATTTCTGCATATACTGAATATTGTGGAAGAAGCCATAACAGACCAGAGACCTTGGTGGAACTCTGAGTTGGAGAGAAGAATGTTGTTAAGATTTACACATTTAAAAAAAAAATCTAGTTTCAATGTACCAAAGCCATTTTTGTTATTATACATTTATAATTTTAATTATCTAATCCAGAGGCTATCAAACTGAGAAGCAGGCCCCTCTGGGGGCACACAATGTATTCTTGGGGGGGGGGGGAGGAGACGCTTTAGGGGAAAAAAATTACTGCATACATTTTACCCACAGCAATGAATTACTATCAAAGCTGACTCCTCCAGACATGTCAGGTCCTCAGATGGCGCTGTGCATTTTGACAGATTTCTGTTAAGCTTACATAGCATTATACAAAGTCGTTGCCACCTGTACATTAATCCATTTGCTACGACATGGTGTGCACATTTAATTGTAAGAATTGACCATGATCGCAGTTTTGCATTTGCTCTTATTACAATGGATCACTGGCTCTGTTTGAATCAATGCTTTACTGTTTTTAATATTTAGTGAGTGTTGAATGTTGATTCTTTTTTTTGTCAGTATATTTACTTGTGTGGCGGGAGGGGAAGGTGTAAACTATTACAGCCACAAAGAAGGGGGGCTCGATCAAATAAGTTTGAGAATCACTGATCTAACAGATTTGTAATGCACCAATCTCCAGAGTATCTAGCTGACCATTATTCAAAACCTACATATTTAATTCTAGAAATCCATGGCAATTATTTCAATAACCAGAAAAAAAGCAAGCCAATAAATGTGTGTGTGAAAACGGATATAAAGTTGCAGCTGGAAAGGAAAACTACTTTTAAAGACCCACCTGTATGTATCTGTGCATATACCAGGAAGCTTGTTTTCCATCGTTCACTGCTTCCACTGTAGTGTTAGCTAAACCTCCAATGTCACCACCGGCAAAAACCCACAGTTCACTGGTTTGCATGGTCTCTGGATCCACTTCAGGAAGACCCCATCTATTAAACTGGATAGGATTCATGGCTTCTTTTACTGTATTTAAGTGAAAGATAAAAAGATACTAAGTAGATGATCTGGAGATAGTTTAACAGATTTACTAAGCAATTGTTGCTACAATCCACTTTATATAGACAATGATAAAAGTAAGAAATAAAACATTGTTTTCAAATGTTGGCCACTTATGCCAGAAATGGGAACCATTCTTACAGTCTGTATGACTGTGTTTCTACCTTGATTTCCAGTAGAGTTAATCCAGAAGTGTATTTACTATGGGGATTCACATGCAAAGGTCCAATGTTTAGCACATGGAATGAATATGCAACAAGTGTCACAATAGAAACCATTTCTCATGTGTCTGCTAAGCTAGGTATATGCAAGAGGTAATTGTACAGGAGTATCATGAAGTGAAGAAAGAGGTGGTGTCGATTGTGCCCAAACCAGAAGGAACAAACTGACTCTGCCACTCTATTGATCACTTCCTGAGCACGAACTACAAATCCTGCACAGACTTAATATTGAGATTTACAAGAATACTCAGCACCAGCTTTCCTCACCTACCATTGACGTCATTGGGAGTTTTACCATTAATATCAATGGGTGCAAAGTTAGGCTAATGTTCTGAACTTTTGAAAATCCTGCCCTAGTCACCATTGGTGAACAAGGGGCATTCTCACCTTCTTTTATCCTAGCATCATCCATTCATCTCATTCTCATTTGTCTACCCACTCATCCATATCATATCCAAAATACTTTTCTACTTCCCAGGACAACAAACATATACACTTGGTAGTTTTCAAAGTTGTTGCCCTCCCAGCCTTTGAGTCATGTCTCCTCGATCCAGGCATGCAATGAAATGACGACAGACATATGGATGAATTTTAAGTGGCAGGCTGCAACTTTTATTAAGCTTAAACACAGGGGAGGGGTACTACCCGCCCATTACCCAGAGCTTCCTATACCAGACATTTAATTGGTTCCAGTGTGGAGGTTACCGGGCTCTTACCACATAACCCATAACTTGGGGTAGACTCTCCTCAGCCTACCCTCCAGGACTCAGCTTGCTCTGAGTCCTACTATCCTCTCTCCCCCCCGCCCCATGAGAGACAGAGCGTGCAGAAGGGTGGGGACTTCAGCCCATGAGGGCCAAAAGGTCTGACCTGACCTTGGCCCACAAGCTCTCATGAGCCCAAAGCCCATCACCAATATCCCAGTATTTTACTTCTGGGAACCATTAATTTTATCCTTTTAACTGCATGGGAAACCAGCCTCAAGTAGCAAAACATTAACAACTCAACCAAGTACCTCAGTTAGGTACTAAGTGCAAACCTGCTTAACCCACCATGTCTTGAAGGTACTTCAAGGATGGTGAAAAAACACCCTGGTTCTCTGCCAATTGGCCCATAGGAGAAAAAAATAGTTCCTGACCCCCAAACAGGTGATCACCAGGGCCAGCGCAACCCATTAGGCGACCGTCAGGCGCTAACATTTGGGGGGCGGCGACCGCGGCGGCCAGATCTTTGGCCGCCCCGGTCGTCGTTGGTATTTCGGGGGCGGGATCTTCCGCTGCCTCTGTCAGGGGCGGCATTTCGGGGATGGGATCTTCCGCCGCCTAAAGTGGCAAAAAAGCTGGCGGCGCTCCTGGTGATCACGGCATTTGTCAGGATGTGAGTAGTGTGGGCTGCTGAAATGAAGCTGAAAGAGGATCCACAGGGCTCTCACCCCAGGTTAAATTCTGGGAGCTAGGGAATGCTGGAGAATCAGCACCCCTCTCCCCTACTGTCCAATCAATGCTAGAGATTCCAAGGGTGGGGAGGAGCTACCTGGTATCTCTCAGCAAGTGTCTCCCTTCCTTGCTGCTGAGACTGTCCCCTTTCACCATCAGCCCCCTCATGTTCCCCCACCTGTTGAGGCAGATGGGTGGCATTTTTGAAGTTTAGAACTGAAAAAGAATGATTTTCCACATTTGTCCTTGTAACAGTTTCTTCAGATCTTCAATATTTATACACACCAAAGATCAAGAGAGTTTTCCCTCACAACAGAAATGACCCTCTGCCACTTTTAGAAAGTTAATTATTAGTCAATTATTGTAGAAAATTTTGAGACAAAATGTTTTTCCACCTGAAAAAACTGTTTCATTTAAACTGAAACTTCCCTGGGGAATATGATGATTTTGACAAAATTTTGCTTCTGTATTTTTTTTAAGAAACCCTCACTCAACATTTTCAGAATAAAATGTTTCAATTTTTCATTTCAGAATGAGTTTTTGGATTGAATTTTTTTATTTTTATAAATATAAAATTTTTAAAAATAGCAAGTCAAAATCAAAATGAAATTTTTCATTGACTCCAAACAATTTTTTCAGGAATTTTGTTGTGTGGGAACTTTTGAAATTCTTTGTTTTCATTTCCATTCCAAGCAAACTAGATTTCAAAACTGCAGAATTTCCCACATTACTCTAGGAATTTTTAGCATGCTGTTTTGTTTACTCTGTCTATTTTAGACACCTATATGGCCCTGTAGTGAGGCGGCCTGGCTCCCAGCCGCCCCCATGAGGGACGAGCCAGAACAGCCACCAGAGTGGGCGGAGTCACCGCTTGTCACCGCCCCCCAGAAGTCAAGGGGGGGGACAGGAAGTATAAAGGCCCGGCCCCAGCACTCAGTTGCGGCCCAACCGCGGGAGAGGGCAGACGCTGGTGCCCAAGCTCCTGCTGCACCGTGCCTGCCCCGAGCCCGGTATCCTGAGGAAGACTGGCCGCGCCTGCCCCGAGCCCGGTGTCCTGAGGAGGACTGGCCGCGCCTGCCCCGAGCCCGGTATCCTGAGGAGCGGACTGAACTTCCCCTCACCGAGGATCCGGAGGAGCCGCCCGACCTACCCAGCGCTCGCTGCCCTGAGGAGCCATGACCTGGGACACGGCGGACGAAGCTCAGGACGCACAGGTACCCATGGAGGAGGAGATGGGAAGTGGCCTGGGGATAGCCGACCCTGAACCCATGTCAGTGTGTTGCGGTCAGGATCCCCACTGACCCAGAAGCAGCGGACTGCTGCTGATAGGGCCCCGGGCTGGAACACAGTGGAGTGGGTGGGCCTGTGTTCCCCCCTGCCACCCCACGCCGGGTGGCAGTCTCTCCTCCTCCCTGCCTGAGGGCCTGAGCCCCTGAACTTATTGTCTGTTTGCTCACTCCCTGCCTGAGGGCCTGAGCCCCTGAACTTATTGTCTGTTTGCTCACTCCCTGCCTGAGGGCCTGAGCCCCTGAACTTACTGTTTGTTGCTCAGCCCCTGCCTGAGGGCCTGAGCCCTGTACTACGGTTGGCTGCCCGCCCGACCTAGGCCTGGGCACGCAAGACTGAACTGCTCCCCGCCTCGGCCTGGCTCCCAGCCGCCCCCGTGAGGGACGAGCCCCTCCCCGGGACGTCTACAGGCCCCCATTATCAAAGTGTCACCTGAAACCTCCCAATCTTTTTTCCATAATCTTTAATGTATTTATTCTCACAATACCCCTTTGAGGTACAATTATACCCATTGTACAAATGGGGAATGAGGAATAAAGAGAGTTGGCCTAGAACACACTGGAAGTTCGTGGTGGAGGAGCAAATTGAACCCTGGTCTCCCAAGATTCTGGCTAGAACTCTCACCACTGCACTATCCTTCCTTCTCAGACTATAAATCTCCATCCGCTCCTCTTTTTAGTTTAGAAAAAGCAGGAATACTATCACAAAAAAACTTCTTAAAACACCCACAAAATGGTATCAATGACTGACCGCCTGCTTTGGGAGAAGAGGTCAGGAAAGTGTGCCTGGAGATGACTGAAAAATAAAAATTTAAAATAGGAGTGTTACAATGTTAACTACAGAATGGAAAGCCCAAGTGCCTGATTCACCACTATGTTAGTCCAGTTTTATGCCATCGCAATTTCAGTGGATTTACACTGATGGATATCTGGAGTAATGCAAGGGTGAATCAGACACCCTCTCCCCCCCAAAGTGTAAATTACATGGGGAAAATATATGCTGTTAAAACACAAAGCAACTATTTTCTCCTCTTATCTTATGGAACATTATTGCAGAAAAGAGATCGTCAGTTCTCTTATTTGTTACAAAATAGAATATAAACATATATACACACACACACACAGCAGATGGATAGATTGTACATAAAACAGGAGGTGAAATGCACAGAACAACACACTACTTTTTGTACTGCATGGAACAGTACAAATGGGACATGAATACAAATAACAAAACCTAAGATCATCTCACCACCATCTATTAAAAGTCATCGTTCTCAATACAATACATTTTAAACTGTGTATTATTTTCCTACTTTAACTTTTGAATTAGCTTCTTTATAAATAGAAAGACATTTTAATGTAGATTTATAATGAAGAAATATTTTCAGATAAATACTTGTAGCAAATCTTGAAGCCATGTATCAAAATGAGTTATTTTTATATAGCTTTAACTATATTGTGACACCCAAGTTTCTGCAATAAAATGCAGTTTAAAACTGCAGTGTTCCTCAGGGACATATCACTAGCAGATGCAGATTGCCAAGGTCAATTAAACTGATGTAGCTGTGCTGTCATATATGTAAAAGAGAAACCTGCTAGCATATGACAAGAATATTTCTCAGTATTTATAGCAAAATGTCAAATATGTGTTGTGTTTTTACTTGAGATGGGCCTAAGTGGGTGTATTTTGGATTGGCAAAACCTCAGTCAGGTTTTATCTTTCCAAAGTCAAAACCAAAACCACCTGTAGTTTTAGGTTTGGATTTAGAGATTTAGCAATATGTTGGATTCTACATTTTGCTCTGCTCATTTGCAATATTGCCAATTTACATAATCCCCTTCCTCACTTAAAAAATTCTTACCCTCCACCTAGAACTATAATGGGGTAAAATAAAAAAGCATGCAACCTCACAGGCTGAACATTATGAATCTACCTAGTGTAGAGGAGCAGTTGGATCACATACTGTATGCTGTTAACTGCCTGCATTGCCAAAACATGCATAGGTCCATGCAGTAAACCAAACCCAGACATTACCAAAGAACATATAGAAGCATGCTGTTAGCCATCTTCTAACACTGCTAAGACATAGACATATGGGAGTCTGCCACCAGCACTCATATGTGAGAGCAAGCTCTTAGTATTGCCCAAATATATGTTCAAGCACACAGCAAGCCTACAGCCCTTCTTGCATAACCCCTCCCAACTTCCTTTCCAGGTCCCATACCATGCCCTCCCCTTCAGAATCAAACACTCTCTGGGGATGTGGAGGTAACTGGGAGCAGGTGGGATTTCTGATGGATGGGAAAACAGGTGGAGAGTATCTCTTTGTGTGAGAGTTGAGTACATTCAGAGGCAAAATACTATACTGGGAAAGAAAGATACAAGCACAATATACTCTGTCACATATTTCTTTTTACTCTTCACACACCTAGGACTCAGATCCAAAGTGCTTTGTGCAACAAAGTTAGATCCAAAATCACAGGCAGCAGTTTGGATTCAGTATCCCACACTGTAACACACTCTCAAAACTAAATGAAAATGGTACAGGTTTGGGCCTCTA